GTAAGGAGGAAGTGTCTAATGAAATCTGTTTATTAAAGAGACATTATGACTGAATGTTTTGTGTCAAATGATATGTATATATAATAAAGAGACATCATAACTGAATGTATGATTCAAAAGACGTATTAAAAGACATTATGACGGAATGCTTGTTATATACACTAATAGATGCAGATAACCATGCGCTGTAGGTGTGTCTGGATAAACCATCTATATTCCTAGGAAGCCCCCCTCCCCTTCACAGTTCATTTACGTTTTGATAAAGTGTCGAAATTCTGAAATATGAATGATGGTGATGTTTTCAAAACAGCTCAATATTTTGTATCGATACGTACCGACAAGCTAAATGCTCTAATTTGTCACATTTAAATAAGCAGAAATCTCCCATGACTTTAAATTCAGAGATACCCAATGAAAATATAATATTCCCACCGTTGTCTATTAAAATCTCAAGAATCTGCGTCGTGTTTTAGATGGATTAATCTTAATTTAGAAGGACACAATTCCAGGCCATCCTTACTTTTGTTAAGGATACAAAATGGAACCAACTGGAATTGACCTACAATTAGCTCCCGTGTCCCTGTACTTTAATGTATGATTTCCATTGTTTAAAGGCACAATATTCCAATAAAACATACTGATCCAAAATATTCTTCCTAACTCAAGTTATTATGTCCTTCTCAAGTTCTCATTCTATTAGAATTAAGGTCCGACTAAACCTAACAAATTCCCTTCATTAAATTTACAGGGATCACTATGATGTGCGATTTTGTCTAGACAATTTCACACAACATACAAGATAAAAGCATTAGTCCCCAAAATTATATCACTAATTAAAAGAAAAAAGAAACCCAGTAACGATATTTTTGTTTCCAATATAATGTTTCTATACAACGTAAGAGATGGATAGAGATATATCATTGATTAACTTTGTGTTTAATTACGTTGATCTTACTTAATGTTCAACAGAAAATTGATTATTTTTTTTTTACATTATTACTTGAATTTTTGATAAGAAAATTGATTATGAAAGGTCTCAAGAAATTCACTTAGTTCTTATAATTTGACATTTATTTATTGGTATCTTGTTTTTGGTTGTTTTCTTTTGTTTTTTTAGAGAACATAGATAAAATGAGAAGTATGTAATATTGAACACGCGATATATGCATCAAGTCTAAAATATGAACCATTTTAAGTCTGTTTTTGCTATATAATTTTAATTAAAAGCACATTAAAACCGGGCTGGTCTGTACAAAAATGATACCAGTACGATAGCACTGTGCATGAGTTGGCACCATGTGTCAGATATCATAGCCTCTATATAATACTCTACGTCAAATGTAAGCAAAAAGTAAGATATCTACGAATCCATTTCCTGTAAATTAACTCATTGAATCACTTTGGACAAAATATTTTGTATGCGTCTATTTTACGCCAATACAGCAGCTTTAGGACGATGGCAGAAAAATAAATATTAACAACGTCTGGATAATCGAGGATTTGTTGCACAGGATGCAATACCATAGATTAAGTAATTATACAGTATGTGAGACTACAGTTTATGCTGTAGTCCCCATTCTCTAGACAATAGGTTCGTGCGAAACTGTGAAATCACTCGATAGCAATGTGAATGAAAAATACAAATTTTATATTGGAATTGGCAGATTGGGATTTAATATCTCATAAATATATCAATTATTGTGTGACGAACGTATCTATTGTTTCCGCCAAAATTTTCGTCGATTCATTTAGGGGCGTTAAGTAATAGTGAGCTAAGACATTTTCATTTTAGAAATTATTATTGACTAAATTTTGTTTTCTATGAAGTGGTTATTTCGTAACCTTTTCTTCCAGAACAAGAGGCATATGACTACCACTACTTAATTAAACCACTTCTGTTGAAACTAATGAAATCAATAGAAGGCGACATTTTAAGTCTTTCTATTTTTCATGTTTTCTCTATCCTCCTCTTCATTTTAACACTTATATATTTCGTCTTCCGTCTCGAGACATGAAAGTCGTGTATGTTCATTATAGACGTATAGAAAACACCGGAGAATTCATGGTACATGTAAGTAAATTATAGGAATTGTCACGGGTTCTTTGTTTATATTAAGAAACTGCGTAAACTTGGGAATTTTTCAAGTCCGATCCTCACTGCTTAATCATATTGATTGTCTTTTGTACTTTCTATATAGTTTATTGGTCTGGTAATCACGACATAGGCGGATTCATAGCTCCGGGATTTCTTAATATCGTTTATCAGGATAGCGCATGCAGGGATGGAAGAAACCTATCCAATGACGAGGTTGATCCGGGGGAATCTGATTTCTTATTGAATGACATATAGGTCGGTGAATTTCAGTATATGGTTATCGGTTATGGAAGTTGTGTTATTGGGACACTACATGTATACTGTATCAGGTTTAAAATTCCTGTATAAGGGTCCAAGAATTCGTCAGTGATTTTATCTACGGTAATGGTTCTAATCGGTGTATGTTTATGTTTATTTTTGGTGATTTTGTTTATATGCGTGATTCCGGTGAATTAATTGACATCGACAGGCCTTGTAATAGTCCCCAATATGACTTGAGCACGTGCTATCAGTTGGCAATAAAAATGAATGTCTCGAAGCGTCATTTTTTGTTCACGCACAGATAGTTCAGATTGCTTGCGAAATCATAGTTAACCCCACCATTGGCTGACACACTTATAGTATTATGGGGAAAATAATTATGAACTTTTGTTAATATGCCGACTTCTGAAAACCGGCCTAATCGTGTATCTAACCTATGAAATATCTTGACAGAAATGCTTTAGAATATTGTTTTCGAATTGTATAGTCTTTTGGACTACCTTTTACTTTACCTTGACTGTTGAAAATGAAATGGTTTTAAACCGAAGTTTCGTACTTTAATTAGCGGGCAACACAGGGCTACTGTTTCTCTTTTGACATGCTGCGGTATCATTTGTAGGGCTTCCCTTTGATGAATGATCAAAGTAAACTAAAGACGATAACAAAACTAAAAGCATCAATTTGATTTATTATTTATTAAAGTCTCTTAGCTATTGATGTAAGATGTTTCATAAAAGTGTTTACCAGCTATTCTAATGACATCTTCTGGGTATTTTTTTTTTCTTTTGTAACATAAATGACACAATAATAAAAAGTGTGAAAGGTCACGCCTGAGACAATTCACTGCTTTTTCTGACAAGGAAATATCTGAAGAAAAATTGAACTGAAAAGTTGTCAACTCTGATTACTTTATGGATTGTTTTTTTCTATGCTCGTTAATGTTTATGGGTCTTTTCAGCAATCGATTATATAGTTTAACAGTGCATGTAAGTAGACACCGATAACACAATTTCCATTAGAAACGACTGATTCGAAAAAAGCTAAAAAAAAAATAATTGATATGTCTCATCAATATGCTTAATAAACGAGAATAAAATATGATTACGAGTCAATAATTAGAAAGAAAGGACTGAGCATAAAGATGATAGTTTATATAGGCTCTAGATCTTCCTGACTCTGGCAACGTCCTACATACAACGTCCTACATCTTGCCGAAAGTCAGTGTGACAACTTTCTTCAAAATGAGTTAATGGTGTTCTCTATACAGGGACGAAATGAACTGATCCGACTGTATTTGTCATTATATATTGATGCAATAACAAGTCCAATCCACCACCCGCTGATATTCTGATAATTTACTTCCAAGGGCATTCGCTTCAAGTAAACTTTCAACACAGCGGAGAATATTCTAAATGTATGAACATTTTTAGAACCATCCATTATCGTCTTTGGTAAATATATTTCAAACTAAACTTTTCATTTATTTAAGAGTTAAATCTGCTTTCTGCAGTTTTTTTCCTTTGCTTCAAATATAAATTATTATTTAGACATTTTTTTTACATGACAACTCTTTAGGTTTAACTTAACGTTAAAATGGATAATCGAGAATCTTGTTTCCACTGTCGTTGCTATGGTACCTGATAATCGAAACTAGTTAGATTAAATCTTGTCAAAACTTAAAATATTCCTAACTTCGCTTAGAATAAAGTAATTTGACTGAATTTAATTTTACTGAAATTTTCAATATTCATTTTTATTTAGTTGGATGATCGAGACTGTGTTTATTTTCGTAACAATGATACTAGACAGTCAGTCGAGACTACCTTGTTAATAATTAAAAATAATTTGACTGAAATATTTAATACATTCATTTTTCTATTTCTTAACTTTTATAGCAAGAACGGATATCTTTTTATCTAAATCTTTAATAAACGTTTTGTAAAAGTTTCGTATTCCTAATTAGTGATTTTAATGTCAATACATAATAACAACTTTTCTAATATATAATTACAACGTCTGTTATATAATGATAACGTTTCTAATGAATAATGACAACGTTTCTGATTTTCAAAATTATAATTTGGGTGTTTCTAGAATTATCAATATGTTATGGCATATGGTGATTAACGTTCTTTGTTCTTTCTTGCCTGACAGCTGATCATCCAAGTGGGCGTCTCTTGTATTGCAAAGACCACAGTAGTGTATTCAACAAGATGAATTCTAAAAGGATTTTAAAAGATATCCTGATATGTCTATATTTTATCCAATCCGGTGACTTTATTCTTCATATTATTTATAAGTCAGGTAGCTTAATTCCGGTTTACTCCCTTGGATGCATGGGGCATCCTTTTATACGATAGAAAAGTTCAAGACTCCACAGTTATATTGATTTTGAGATTACGTTTCTTTAATATGATGATGTCCGTTTAATATTTAGTCAAAACAATCCAGATGTGCTCTGGTTAGACACAACAAGACTCGATACAGGCGTCTCTATTGTTGAAAATGTTATGTACATGTGATAGCATACGCAAGTAACTTAATATGTCTGTGTGTTATTTGTTCGGTTTAACAGTTGCTTTAAGACGATTTTATGTCTTTAATCTTGTACAAAACATATCTGTCATTCAAACCGAACGTAGATTTAATTAGTTATGGTGAAGTGTTGTGAACAATAAAATGTGTTATGTCGTATCTATAGTGTACGGATGACTAAAGGCAATATCAATGCTTTGTGAGGAAAAATAACAAAGAATGTGTTAGATATCTGGTCTGCTGGATAAGTCAGTGAATAATAATACTGATATAGACGAAATGAGCGTTAACTTCGGGAATAACACTACCAATGGTGGAATTAAAAATACGTATTTTGAGGGAAATAGATTTCCCTGGTTACCGTCAGTATTTGTGGCAGTTTCGTTACTGGTTTTCTTGGGATTGTCATTTGCTAAATATCATCGAAAGGTTTCTAAGAAAAGGCAAGCCACGTTGGATTATATGCTTGTTCATTCTCGAATGCTACGACGTCGAACACTGGCACCGCTTTGTAATACATATTCCATCAGCATTAAGGACTTGGCATCGTCTGTGAGAATAAGAGTACCGAATGCGTCTGTATGTCTAAAGAGTGTTGATTCATTTAACTATAACATGACCAGCATGGACAGTAATGATTATGTTAATAAAGAAGACAATGAACCATTTACGCCATATTTTGGTGCAACATTAAATGATTCAACAAGCAGTAAATTTCTAGACAGTGCACTATCATTCAGTGGAAGTGAGTGGGACTACTCTCAGTCGAAAAGTCCCCGACCTCCTCGATTTAATCTTTCGGGTATTCACAGTGACGAAAGCTACGATAAGAACAGGATAAAACGAAAACGATGGAGACGTAGCTTTTCCTTAGATGACTATTGGCTAGGCAATAAAAAACGATACCATGCCCTGAATCTCATGGATGATTCATTTGATACTGGAATGAACACTAGTGATGACTTGTATCAGTGTTCTAACGAAACGGGTTCACAACATGAAAACACGTATTTGACCAACGCTAAAAAAATCCCCGAAGACAGTGTTTTATTAAACGATAATCAAACGAGTGAACGTGACAGTTTTATTAATATCAAAACACAAAGGCTATATCAGAAACCCTGTAGACCAAACCGACAACAAAAACTTGTCGACAAACGAAAACGTCTCACAAAAATCAGGCATTGTGGAAATGCTTGTCAAAACTGTTCAGCGCCTATTAGACAGGATGCCAACGAAGACAACGAATTAAATATGGAAACTACACTGGCGAGAAGAATGGAAAAATTAAATCCTGTGTCATACAAATCAAAGTCGGTGAGTTTTGAAACGAGAACATTTGACAAAGGTGCAAATGTGCGAAAACGTATATGTGATATACGAAGCGATTCTGCGCCTAGCACCAGTGTTTCTCATACTTTAATACTTTTCAGTCACCAACACAAAAATGAGACCGGCCTTGCCTCGGATTTTTTGCCATTTGAGGAGAATTCCAAACTCACGGCTAGCAATACACCCATTTCCACCAGAAGCAAAAGAAAAAAGATCTTTGCCCACCAAAAGAATGTCGATCTTAACAGCTTAGAATTGCGCGTGGTTAATGATATGAATTTTGAAAACGCGGAAGGCAGCAAAGCAAGTAAGGCCATCTTTAACCAAAATGGTTTAAGCAACGAAATAATCGGTGATAAAAAGATAACATTAGATATTTCTAATCAATGCCCTATATTATTCATGCTACATCAAAATTTGAGGGATGCATCTCGACGGGCATTAATGAGTCCTAGATCACTTCAGTGTAATTCAAGTGTGGAGTGTGCCAGTTCTGTGACGATGTCCCAAGGAGATAACAGTGCGATTACGATAAATAACAATGAATTAAAAGACTGTTATACTGACAAGATATTAATGGATTCTGCAGCAGTTAAAAATACGCCAGAATGTTCAGATAACTTACAAAATTCTTCGAGCAACAGAAACTTCACGAACGGTTTGATCAATGATGCATATCTTTGGTCACGAAAATCATGGAAGATGTATGCCGACAGGAAGAAACAGGAACAAAAACGATCATCAGAAAGAACAAACCCAGGTGAGATTATTTTGTATAACTAACTGAGATAAGTTCTTGCTTATTCTATGTTTCATATACTAAACAGCAAAAAAACGTCAGTACGATTTCAAAATCAGAGAGGCACATTAATCAAATCATTCTAGAAAACGACTTACTATATGGATCAAAGCAATTTTTTGTGAGCAGTATGTTGACACATTGACATTAGTGATTAATTCATCACAATTCCAAGACATTACGAGAAGGTTTAGAGTCTGTACACAGTCTATACATCAGTATCTGGTGTGTCCACCGCGAGTGTCAATAACAGCAGCGCAGCGTCTGTACATCGAGTGGACCAGACGATTGATGAACGTCATTGGTACCTGGAACCACACTCTCAGAAAAGCCTGGCGCAATCCATCGGCTGTGTTTGGGCGTTATTAGGTCTCCTCTAAATTCCATCCCAAAGATGTTCAATCGGGTTTAAGTCTGGACTAAGGACTGGCCAGTGCATAACGTTGACACCATTCTGCTGTAGAAAATCCCGAGAAACTGTGGCGGTGTGGGCACGGGCGTTGTAATTCTGGAAAACATTGTTTCGATCGATGTAGGGCACTGCTGTGATGCCGCCTCCTGTCCCTGGCCCAAGATTTTGGAACACCATAGGACCAAAGCCGATTCCACCCCAAACCATTATGCTTGGACCTCCCCATGAGGCTCACTCCATGACACATTGGTCAGAATAACGCTGGCCACGTCGACGCCATTTTCTGGTCCTGCCATCTGCAGTTGATACGCAATACCGACTTTCATCTGTGAACAGAACAGTTCTCCATTGCCTCTGTCGCCAGTTCTCCATTGCCTGTGTCGATGGCGAGGGGTGAGGATCGTCCACGGTAAGGTCTACGGCAAAGGATGTTCTCTCTGGTGAAACGTCGGCGCACTGTATCGGTACTGATGGGTCTTCCGCGTGTTCCCATTGTCTGACGTGCTGTCTCAGATGCCTGTGTGAAGGGATTCTGCACGTGTTGTCGCACAATATAGCGGTCTTGTCGCCTTGTGGTAACCCTTGGTCTACCAGTTCGGGGCGATCATCCGTGGTGTTGGTGGCCCGAAAGCGTTGCTGAAGCCTGTAGATGCGTCTATTCAGAGTAACATACCAACCTGGCGTTTCTTTTGCTGCTTAGTATATTATGAAATATAAATTCAATAATAGATATGTAATCTAATGATGTTTCTAAATCACAGAATATGAATGGAGTTGACGCCTCGTTCATGATGTGTCATTTTCAAAATTCATTAAAAGTTCTAATCTGTACTTTCATTTCGACGATCCTAGAACGCTATATGGTCATTGTGTAGGAACTTGAAATGATGTCTTCCTACGAACGTCTAGGAGCGTCTAATAACAGCCTTTAAGCCCGAAACCTATATATTCCCATGTGCAGCGAAATTATGGTCTTTAGGATATTGCCTGGTGTATTTCTACAAGCGCCAAACGATGTTTTCTATTGTCTCAATCCGCTCGCGCCAGGCGGATGAATGTCGAAACCAACTTTCATTGTCACTGAACTAGTTAATTTCGAGACACCTAATTAGCCTGAATCTAGCTGTCAACAACCGTTTGTAGGTATGCGAAAAACTGAACAGTACACCATTCTCACAGCTAAATAAATCAGCCACCACCACCACCACCGCCCGCCCCTTTATTTGTGTAAGGGTGGGTGGGGGGTATTCTTGTAGGGGCATGCGCAATGCAGCGGTACCAAGAAGACAAGGAGGACTAGCAATGATGTACTTGTGGAGGGACAGCTTATACATCAAGGCGCATTAAGCCCCAATGATATTCAGTAGCGCATTACACCACACAGCCCAGGACAATGGATTTGGGTACTGTGCTTTATGTGCGCAATACAATCTATGAAAGAAAATGGGATCTTATAAAATGCCCTGATGCAAAACTTTCGATGTATTACAACTTCCTCTTCAAATATTTTTCTTTCGGTTCTTGATTTTTCTATTAGGCTAGCCCACGGTGGCTCAGTGGGTGATTCACTGGTTCACGAACCACTAAGTCCCAGGATCGATCCCGGTTTTGGTCGAGAAAATTATTCTGGATTTTCCAGCCTGAGTACCTGGCATTGTTATTGAGCTCTAATTCATATTTCCTCCAACGTCCCTTAGTGTTTCTTCGATCAGTTTTAGCTTCGCGGATATCATCTGAGTAAATCCATTGTGAATCTGGTCTTTATGGGATTATCTTAGTTACCACAGGTTCATACATATACTTGTCAAGAACCCCAAATACATCACCGTATATGAGAGCATACTCATAAGTATGGCTGGTGGATTACATGGTAGTTGACGGGATGCAATTTAAAGGACAATATTGGTGTCAGTCATTATCACATATGTGAGAGAACTAATTAAACGCGTTCCAAATATAATTTTAACACAGAGGTCATTGCAACGATAGCTGAGTAATACGGGTTTCCTGAATCGGAAGTGACGAACGCCAAAGGAAAACACGAGTCATACCTCTATATAACAGACTGATGTGACGAGTGATAACAGATACACTACACGGCCGAATTTCTGCTCACTAATAATTCCTTCCAAGACCAAAAGTTGTTGTGTGAGACTGTGAGAGGATATCTGACAATTCATAAAAAGAATTGACTGCCACTAGATAAGAGAACACGAAAGAAAAACAGAAAAAGTACGTGCATTACCATGTTTTTATAAGGTATAGAATGAATATAAACAAGGGAATGTACAGATATTTCTATTTTTCTCGTGTTCTCTTATCTAATGACATTCGATTATTTTATTGAATTGTCAGGTATCCCCTTACAGTCCCATATAACAACTTTTGGTCTTCGAAGGAATTATTAGTGAGCAGAAATTCGGCCGTGTATCTGTTATCACTCGTCACATCAGTCAGTTATATAGAGAGATGACACGTGTTTTCCTTTGGCGTTCGTCACTTATATACAGATCTATATATCGTTTGGGATTTTTATACTTTCGATGGCCTACACTACATGAAGTTCGAACCAGCCAGGCACTTGATTAACCAATCATTGGCTAATCCCTCGCATCATCCAGAACACGTCAATGATAACAACTCTTCTAGATCCAAGTGTAGAAAGACAAGTAAAACGGAATTTTGAACTGTGAAAAACGAAACGAAATAGCATCTGTGTTTTTTATCAGATTGTACTGGTAATGAAGAATGAAAAAGAATTCATCATGAAATAAGGCAGTTTTAAATTATTTTTTTCTTCGAGATTGAATCTTAGTCGGAACATGATGTACCATTTAAACATAGTCGCCTATTGGACCTTACATATAAAATAATTTGTAGTTCTATGTAACCCATTCACTGTATAACACCCTATGCTGGTCATCGTCATGTTACTTGGGTTGCTAAAATAGATAGCTTAACTTAATAAGATTGGCACTGTATAATTAGACAACAGAAGCAGGTTACCTCTTTATTGGACACTTCAGATTGTCATGACTTTTGTATCCTCGAAGTACATATAGATATTAATAATAATAATAATACTTTATTCAGTGATACAAGGTCATATAGTACATAGAATATAACATACATATATATTCCAGATCTATAATATTATTCGGTTATTGAGTATATATATACATGTGTATATTAATAAACAATAACAACGAATAACAAATATATAACTTTCTGGAACTCAACTTTTCCTCTACATACAGTGCCATAGATATCAATAATGATCTATCTCTAACAGTGCATAACTTATATAGAAGATGTGCATCATAATAATCGCTAATGCAGTCTGGTGGAAGATATTTAACTCTTAAACATAAAATAGTATAATTTTTCATTTCCTTCATTACATAAAGACCTTTTAAATAAATTTGCTGAGAGTGGTAACCGGTTTAAATGTAATCGTGTAATATTACGCCTCAACTTTATTGCTATATTACAAGATAGATAGCTCTCTTGTTTAAGCTCAGGTTTAAAATTAATGTATTCAATAAGACTATCATGGGTTATCAATATCCTTAGGTCTTAATTTCACTGATTGTACAAATTTGCTTTCATTACCAATGCTTTCGGAGTAGAATATCAACCTAAACCCAAGTGAGAATAACACCATTTTCAAATGAGTAAACCCTGTTTCCCGCTCAAATTAAAATCTAGATTTTTTAACATTAGATACACCTATTTTGGATAACGGTCTATACTCATATCGTTTAAATTACACAAATATTTTATACAAGACAAAAATGTAATATACACCGAGACTATGTTGCCCACATTCTCTTACAGCTCCAGCACTGGTGGAAGATTTACATGTATGTATACCTAACACAAACTTACAAAAGTGTGTATAAAGACGTTCTATATAAGGTCTCTGCGGATGAATTTGACCTGTTTTTGAAATGAAAGCCTTAATAGGAATGAGAGCTTTTTTGACTTTTAAGTGACAAGTTCAGTGAATATTTACCCCAGTGGAACCTAGAAGAAAACAAGAGACCTAAGTAGCTGTAATATGTGACACAATCACCCCTAGTGTGGTTCCACTGCCTAACTTAACAGATGAGGTCACGAGCGTTTCATGACTCGTGTTTAAGGGGTTTTGTGAGCGTGAAAAGGGGGGGGGGGACTGGCCAGATATAAAGTAAGTTCTACGACTATGAGAACGCGTATCCTCGAAATAGATATTATTGCACCATTGAGCGTCACATTACTCGTATTTAAGAGTTTTTTTGTGAGTGTGAAAAAGGATGGGGGTGGGGGCTGACCAGATATAAAATAAGTTTCACAACTACGTAAACGCGATTACTGGGTGTTTCCCCCCACCACACGCCCCCCACCCACACACACATACCAATTTGGTTCTGGTCAGATATAAATTAAGTCCCACGACTATGATAACACGTATCCTCGAAATAGACATTATTGCATCATGGAGCGTCACATGACTCTTGTTTAAGGGTTTTTTGTGGGTTGTGGCGGACCGCGGGGGGGGGGGGGAGTC